CCCCAGGGATTGGCCCGCTGCGCCCCCACCCCACGGCAGCAGCCGTGCTGTGTGAGGGTGGAGCTGCAAGCAGGGGTGTCCCTGCGGTGGTGTCACCCACCACTGTGCCCTGGGATGTCGCCATCGCCCTGGGTACCCCCTGAACTTGTCACCCATGCACCCCAGGGATGCCATCGTCACCCCCAGCTGGGCACCCCCCGGGCCAAAGCGAGGGGATGCGAGCGCTGCCTGCGCCCCCAGGGTGCCGCTGCCTGCGAGCGCTGCCCCTGGGGAGCCCCAGGGCCGGGGTGGTTCCACCGGGGCGCTCGGGCTGCTGCGCCCCGCAGAGCCGCGCCGGCTGCTCCCACGCAGGGATGAACGCAGCGGGCACAGGGGGCTGAGCCCTGGGGACACCCTGACCCCGGGCCCTGCCGCTGCCCCGCGCCAGCCCAGCCCCACCGCAGCGGTTGCCACACAAGGACTGTGGCCAGGAAACCGAGCCGCGGGAGGATGAGTGGCCAAGGGGACCAGGGAAGGGCAGGCAATGGAGTGGCCCTGGCTGCCGCAGGCAGGGCTGCAGGCAGGGCTGCAGGCGGGAGGGAGGTATCACTGTCCTGCCAACGCGCTCTCGGCACTGCCAGGGAGTCCCACGCGGCCCCGATCCCGCAAAGTGGGGCTGCGGGACCCTACGTTCCCATGGGGCAGCTCCGTGTTCCCATCAGACAGCTCGGCATCGCTGTGGGGCGGCTCGGCATTGCCTTGGGGCGGCTGCGCGTTCCTCCCCTCACGGCCGAGAAAGCAGCAGCCCCATCCTTCTCCTCCCCGGGCCTGCCGCGCAGCCCAGGGCCCCGGCATGCTCAGGCTCCTGGTTTGCATTAATGGCGAGGCCTCATCCCCAAGGCGCCTGGCGTCACTGTCGCAGGCGATGGGAAGCAGCGGGCGACGGCAGGGACAGGGGGCAGCCGCCCGTGGCGTGCTGAGCGGGAGCCGCGCGCCTGACCGCGCCCACGGGAGAGGCGCACGCTGTAACTCACACACCCACGGCTCCCTTTGCCGGGTGGAGCCGGCGCGGTGCCAGCCCCTCGCCGACACCCCAGAGCGCAAGAGGAGACCACGTCAAGCCCAGTCCTTTATCCAAGTCTCGTCCCTGCTGCCCAGCCACAGCAGCCCCCTCCTCGGGCCGCCCAACGCCCCCTCCACGCTGGCAGTGTTTAAATAACCCTGAGTTCAACCGCTCCGCTCCCCGCTCCGCCGGACCCCACGCAGCTGCTCCTCAGCCGAATCCCCCTTCCACGGCGCAGAGGCACAACCTGGTTCGGCCCCGGCCGCCAAACCTCCTCTGCCGCCGCTTGGGCCAGTCTCCTCACCCCCCCGCGCGTCTCCCTGCCCGCGCAGCACATCAGCCTGCTTCCATCCTCCTCCTCCTCCTGGAGACCCCGGTGGCGCAGAGCCCCACGGCGGCGCAGAGAGCCCCGCGGCGGTGCGTCACCAGCGACCTGGTGCGTCCTGTCGTCGCAGGCTGCTGCACCTCTGCGGAGCAGCCTGGAGAAACGCTGCCCCTTCCCTTCTCCAGCCCTGGCGTTAGGGATTATCCTGGGTCAAAGCTTTGCAGGGGCTGGTCTCCCGGTCGTGGTTCGGCAAGCTGACGGCAGGAGAGCTGGCAACGGCGTGGACCTTTTGGTGGTGGTTCAGAGATTGCCGGTGCCGGAAACTCTTGCTGCAGCCGTTGCACTGGAAGGGCCGCTGCTGGGTGTGCCGGCGCTGGTGCTCCTCCAGCGACGCTTTCTGGGGGAAGCTCTCCGCGCACTCGATGCAGCGGTAGAGCCGTTCCCCGGCGGCGCTGGCCCGCGCGGGCCGGCCCGCCCCCCCCCCCCGCACCCGCACGCCCTGGCAGCGGCGGCGGCTCCCAGCGGTAGGGACGCTCCCCGGTGTGGATGCGGTAGTGCTTGTTGAGGTTGGACTTCTCGTTGAAGCTCTTCCCGCAGGCAGGGCACTGGAAGGGACGCTCGCCCGTGTGCAGGCGCTGGTGCCGCAGCAGCGCGGCGTGGTGGGCCAGGCTCTTCCCGCAGGCCGTGCAGATGAAGGAGCCGTTGCTCTTCCTCACCTGGCTCTGCTGCAGCGCCAAGAGGTTGCGCTTCAGCTGGGCGCTCTGCTGCAGCGCCAGGAGGTTGCGCTTCAGCCGGGCGCTCTTCCAGCTCAGCGGGAGCACGCGGGGCTCTTCCCCCGCGGCGCAGGGACGAAGCTCCTCCGAGCCGGGCTGTGACGAGGCCGCCTCTGCGGTGGTGTCTTCTCCCAGCGCCATTCCCTGGGGCAGGGCGAACGGCTGGTCAGTCCCCACGCCGAGCACGTGCTCTGTTGGGAAGGGCAAGCCCGGGGCAGGGTGAGCTTCCACCGGCACCACCACGGGCTTAAATTCGGGCTGGGCAATCCCATGTTTGCAGAACTCCCCTAAGCCCTCTCCTGCTGCCTTCTCGTCCACGCCAGCGTGGCTCTCCCAGGGCGCCGGCTGCTCCCGGCCCAGGGGAGCCTCCTCTTCCAGTCGTGCTGACGGTACCTGCGTCAGAGCCAGGATTTCAGAGCCTTCCTCCTGGGGCTGCTGCTCTTCTGTCTTGATCACGATCTTCTCACCTGCTGAGAGACAGCAATTCATTCCCGGCAAGGAAAGCTCTCCCGTGCCCACGGCCCCGGTGCGGGAGCAGGAGCTGAGCTTCCCCTGCTGCACCTTGGGGAGACAAACCAGAAATGGCGTCGTTAGAAAGGGAGTGGGGGGTTTTAGCGAGAGCAAAGCGGGAGAAGGACACAGGAGGTGGAAGGCGTGTTGGCACCTCGTGGGGGGTTCTGGGTATCCTGTTGGACCGCGGGGACATTTGACGGACTGACAATGCAATACTCGTAAAGAAACCGAAACAGAGGAACTGTGGAGGCTGCAGAGTCCCCTGTCCTGGAAGGGACTTTGTCAGGAATGGCAGAGTTTAGGTGGGTGAATCTGGGGAAAAGGATCAATGCAAAACCTTCCAGGAGCAGGAGGGAGCGTCTGCCCGCAGGCGTACAGCCGCAGAGCCACCCTCGCGCTAAGCCTTGCCCCAGGGCTCCCTGTTTTCCACTCTTTTTGGCAAGGGGGCTCTTCTGGGCTTAAAGATTTGGTCTTAGAAGTTTTAAGGAGGCCCCAATCATGTGGCTTAAATTCCCAACAGCTTCTGCCCCCACACAAGACTGGAACCGCTCCCAGCAGGGACGTGATCAGTTCCGCTGGCCCCGTCTCTATCGGGAGCAGCAGGGGCACTGCTGCGGGCAGGCTCCAAAGCCCCTCGCTTTGTGGGCAGGCAGCAGCGGCGCGCGGGCAGCAGCAGAGCAGCGCGCCCGGCACAGACTCTGCCCAGCCCGGGCGTCTCGTTAGCACTCGTTCTCAGCCTTCGCCGCCGAGCCGAACGGCCGCTGTCACTCACCGCCGCCAAGGTGCCCCGACACCGCTCCCTTCTCCGGCAGCCCGTGGGTCCTCGTACCCAAATCGTCCCCGTCCTCGGCCGGCGGCAGCAGAGCGGGTTTGGAGCTGGCGTCCCCGGGCCCTGGGAAGGAGGAAGCGGTGGTACGAAGTGCTGACGCTGGGGAGCAGCACCAGTTCCCCTCGATAAAGGGCTGCTCTCGCACAGCCGGAGCTGTGCGGTGCCCGGAGGGTCCTGGGCTCCCAGAGCAGCGGCTCAGGTTTCCCAGGACCATCAGAGCAAGCAGGCTGGTGTCAGCCAACCCAGGCAAATGATTTCAGTTACCCCAGGAAGAAGCGACTGTCGGGCACTCATCAGCCTTTTAAAATGTCAGCCCAAAATAATTAGTGCTAAAATTTAGGACTGTCCGCAGCAAATCCCCACAGGGTGGGATACGTACAGCCTGTGTCCTGGCAAAAAATGGCGCAGGAACACGGGTTGCGGGACACAGCACGGGCACGTCACCTGAAATCCCCACCACGTGCTGTCCTGAGCGCGCGGGGAGGGCTCTCCTCTGCTCCCGCAGACGCTGGGCCGAGTCCCCGGACTCTGGCGGACGCCCGCTACGCTCTTCCCGCAGTGCTCCTGCTCATGGGGGCAAAGCCTCGCAGGGCAAGTCAGGGCTGACAGAGGGCCAAATCCTGGCAGTGTCTGAGTGCCCCCGCTGCTGTGTTGGCAAGGCGAGGCGTTCTTTGGATGCACAGGGTGAGCAGGAAGCACAGCTGTCACCCATAACCAAGGGGCACCAAACCTTAAATGCGTAAAGGCGTCACCTCTTACTGCCTGTTCTCCCCCGAACGCCCAGACAACACAGCAGCCCGCAAGCGGCCGTAAGCTGGATTCAGCCCAGGGGATGACAGTGTGTCTGACGCGGGAGCAGAGACCGATCCTCACCAAGAGAGACCACAGCTTCATAATTCCCCTCCGTCGCGATTCTGTAGAGCTCCTTCTGCCGGCTCTCCGAGCTCCCCCACTCCTGCTCCGGCAAACTGGCCGAGTCATCCTCGCACACCGCTGGCACCTGAAAGCACAGGAGTCACCGCCTTGGCGCTTGCGCACCTCGTCCGTTCCCCCAGGCCCCGCCGCTTCCCCAGGAAAGCAGACTGCGGTGCGACGCAGCGCGGGTCCCCAGCTCCAACGGAAAGGAGCCGTGTCACGGCCTGAACCCAGGGAACCATTCCAAAATGGCAGAGCGAGGCTCACTTGTTTCCCCACACGTACACAACCGGGACCGGTTCACAAGCGCCTCTCGCTCCCTTGATCCACGCCGGCAGCCCGAAGCAGCCGGGTGAGCAGTAACCCCCTTCGCGGGAGCAGGACGGGCGGGAAGGCACCGTCCCACCGGTGAAGGACCAGCAGGCCCCACCACAGCTGGAAGTGGGGGGGGGGGGGGGGGGGGGGGTGTGTTTGTTCCGCTCCTCCTCTTCACTGGGGACAGGGAGGAGCGGGACGTCTCTGACTGCTGCCTTGGCGTGCCGGCTCTCGCAGTGGAGCACCTGAGGGGCCGCGTCTGTGCTGCTCCACGCAGCTCCCCATGAGAGCCGATGCCGCAGCTCTCCAGCCACGCGGTGGCCTGGGGCACATCTCCATTACCTTGGGCACGTCCCCGTTAGCTGGGGCTCGTCCCCGTTACCCTGGGCACATCCCTGTTACCTTGGAGACATCCCTGTTACCCTGGGGACATCCCTCCTGGCTGGGGCTCGTCTTCATTCATCACCTCGGGCACGTCCCCATCACCTTGGGCACGTTCCTGTTACCTTGGGCACGTCCCTGTTAGCTGGGGCTTGTCACCATGGGCACATCCCCATTACCTGGCGCTGTTCCCATCACCGTGGGCACATCCCCGGTATCTGGGGCTCATCCCCATTACCTTGGGCACATCCCAGTTACCTGGGGCTCGTCCCCGTTACCTTGGGCACATCCCATTAGCAGGGGCTTGTGCCCATTTGTCACTGTGGGCATGTCCCCATTAGCTGGGGCTCATCCCCGTTACCTTGGGCACATCTCATTAGCAGAGGCTTGTCCCCATTCGTCACCTTGGGCAGGTCCCCGTTAGCTGGGGCTCATCCCCATTACCCAGGGCTCGTCCCCGTTACCTGGGGCACATCCCATCAGCAGGGGCTTGTGCCCATTTGTCACCATGGGCACGTCCCCGTTACCCGGGGCTCGTCCCCGTTACCTTGGGCTCGTCTCCGCCGGTGCCCGGGCCGGGCCTGGGTGCCCAGCGGCTGGG